GCCCTTTACTGTGAAGAAGCAGTAATAGGCAAGTATATTGAATATGCAATGCAAGAGAACTATACTCAGTACACCATAGTCATGAAAGACTTCAGTGTGAAGATAGGAAACAGAAAGGTGAGATGATGAGCTACAATATTAACTTTAGGGTTGAAACCAGAACTTTATCTTGGATCAAGTAGTGCCATATAGCGGTGAAAAATATCAAATAGAATACTAGAGGTTTTATTGACAATTAAAAGAAATAACTAAGAAAATCAAATTTGTTCATGTCCTCGAGCACACAGCATGGTGAGAAACTGCTGTCGAACACATTGTCATGAAGAAACAAAAGTCATGCCTCATTACAAGTCTTCAGGCTCTCGTCGTGATCTCATGATGTTTCCAGCAGCCAAAAAACCTGCGGTCGCTGGCCACCTCAGTAAATGAGAACGTATCAGAAAGCAATTTTTGTAATACCTGTATAAAGTGCAGTTCAAAACTCTTTCCAGTATTTCAAACCTTTTATTTATTTATTTATTCAGTTACCCTCAAGGCCCGAGGGCATTACAGAGGGGAGTGGGTACATACATACATGTACAGCATACAAAGCAAAATACAACAACAGAAAAATTGCAATCATCGCTTGCTACAGGGTTGAACTGAGGCTACGTACAAATAAAATTAGTGACGGCAATTTTAAATAAAGCAGCATCTTTTATACCAACAATATCACAAGGAAGATGATTCCAACATACAGATGTTTTTGGCACAAATGAATCATGAAAACACTTGGTGTGCGCTAAAGGAAGTCCTACTTTATGGCGATGATCAATGCGAGTGGAAACGTAAGTTGGTTGGGCCAATAATCTGCTTCTGAGTAACGGATTGGTGAAGTAAATTTTATGGAATATACACAGCCGAGACACTTTCCTGCGAAGAGACAGTAGGGGTAATGCTAGTGTAGTTTTCATTGATGTGACGCTCGAGGTGCGATGGTAATTTGAAAGGATGAAGCGCGCTGCCCGATTCTGCACTCGTTCTAATTCATAGATAAGCGAGTCATGACCAGGGTCCCAAACAGATGCTGCATATTCTAATCTGCTACGTACCAATACTTTGTAGAGTAAGAGTTTTAAGGAAACGGGTGCCTGATTAAAATTTCTTCGAAGGTAACCCAACGTGCTATTAGCTTTACCTGCAATATATTCAATGTGTGTCTTCCAAGACAATGTAGAAGTTATGTGGATACCTAGATACTTATAAGAATTTACTACTTCGAGAAGAACATTATTAATATGATACGACCTGATACTAGTGCTGTGTCGGTTAACATGCATGTACTTGCATTTGTTAACGTTTAACGCCATGCCCCAAGTTCACAAGCTCAGTGAAGTAATTTTTAGTTTCTTGACTAGATCTGACTTTTTTTGTTGCTTGCAATACAACAGTCTTCCATTACGTTCCCTGCCTTTTTTGCTGGAGCCACGACATGCAGGAATGGCATAACCTCAAGGGAAATATGTGCTGGCTTTAAAACCAGGGTATAAGTGAGAGTTTTAAAGCCTACTGTAATGACTTTCGCATTAGTTTTTTGGACACCACCCTAACATAGTTGTGCAATTAGACTGTGTTTAGACACTTTAGATATTTTCCTGTATTTGAAAGTTGAACCAAAGCACTCAATTATAATTCTAAACATGAATATTCATACACCCTTAAATAATACACATGTTAGAAGAATGAAATGAACTCCACATAATGAACACCTTTTTCTGAAATTAAATAAATAGGAAGAGGATATGGAAAGTCCTCACAGAGAAACAGAGTGGTAGATTTTATATAATCCTGGGACCCAGGCAATGTACATGAGAGAATTTAGGGGCAAGGTAGAATGTAATTATCATAGGCTGGTGAGGGTAGCCCTCAATGTGAGAAGACCAAGAGCCAGTTTATTTATTCATTCAAAATACCTTACACGCCGATAGGAGGACATCAGTAACTGAAAGACAGATAAAAAATACAAGGGAAAAACAGTAAAACAAAACTACAAATGGCAAGGGGCAACAATGTTACACAATACCAACATGTAACGAATCAGTTTATCACTGAAAGTCTACTAAAAATTTTATAATTACAGTTAGATGCAATGTGATACAAAAGACTGATTCCAATATGCAAGTGCCTAGGTTGTAATGACAACTTAAATGCCTGCATGTAACCACGAGTGCACATGAAACTAATTGTGCTGTGAATGTGTCAAGACGTGTACACAGGAGGATAAAGCAGTACTAAAATTCATCACAATACTCTACCAGTGAAAGAGACACATAAGAGCAGTGATGTGGCTGGGCCATGTCATGCATAGTTTACTAAAATTAACTAGAGGGGACCCTGGCACTGTGATCGTTCAGCGGCCCTTGGAATGATGGGTAGTACACAGATTTGCCTACTCTTCGTACTTGCGGGTGGCGAACCCCACTTGTGGCTTCATTTATTGCTGGTTTCGGTTTTGTTTCAAAGAAAAGAAACTTTTTTGAACTTCATGACCTGATTTGAAATGGTGAGCCTAGAAGAATAACGTGGTGAAGTGCCATCACTGAATATTTGCTGATTTTCGTTTTGTGAGAAAACAGCTCCAAGCCACACGAATACACACAAATTCAGATGTATGAAGATTGGACGAATCCGTGTACTACGCATCATTCCTTGCTCGCTGATTTGCCATGCATGGTAGTTCCCATAGACACTATCGCCAGAGTTCTCTCTAGTGTATATTTAGGAAACTCTATGGTGTCAAGTTTTATTGTAGGTGAATCTGCCTGCCCTATTTGTAATGGCTTCCAACATATGGACTAGATAATCTCGTTATGGTGACCATGTAGATGAAGCTTACTCTAAATGTGGGTAAAGATAAGATATGATAATGCATATACATTAGAAGATGCATTGCACAAGTTTCTGAGGAGGTAAGCTGCAGATTGAGCTTTTGCTGAGATAGCTGCTATACGCCGTAGTATAGGACAAATCTGATGAAAGGTAAACACAAAAATATTTATTTGTATAAAGGGGCAGCTGAAATAATGGTATTGTTAATCGTACAATGAGTGAGTTCTGCCGAGTTGCACTCTACCTGAACATCAAGTTAAGTCATTTGAGAAATGAAATGATCATCAAAAAAGAGAAAGAAAAACTAGCCCATAAGTTAATATTGCTATAGGTGATAGACTTGTTGTCATGTAACTAAATCAAGGATGAATGGTCAGCGGGTAAGTCCTTAAAGGGGCCCTGCAACACTTTCTTTTTTAGCATTGTCAGAAAACGCTGCTGATTGGTAGTTGCAGCTCCCAAAAGCACATGAGCCAAACATTACAGTGCAGCATGCAGTCTAAAATTCACAATTAATTCTCAAAGTCGGCCAGCAATTGCTCCCTCGTCTCTCTACAGGTGATGCCTTATACCTGGATTACTGTGTCATACCCAAGTCCACAGCCATTGACTGATTTGAGCATCATAGGCTATGCAAATACTGTGGCCACTGCAACTGCTGCCATGTGCCAGTGCTTGTGCTCACCCTGAAAGTAGCCATGCATTCTAAGAAAAAAAAAAGGAAAGTGCTCAAGGTCATGACGTGCGCTGACAAAAGGGTGCATCTTTTTGCCCCCTTGTGTCCCTACCCAAGTTGCCTTCAGTGCACTCGCTTTTACGAAAAGAGAAAGCGCTTGAAGTATTCAACAAATTCCTCGAACTCCACTTGTAATCGGCATATTCAAAAAAATATTTCGGTATGTGATTTGTGAGGCATCATGAGCCAACAGTGACATCTATATTTCAAAAGTGTTGCAGGGCCCCTTTAATGTATATTAGAAAGAGTAACCGACTTAGCACACTGCCTTGGGCAACACTGCAGGTGATGTCGAAAACATTAGACGAGATGTAACTGACCACCAAGAATGAAAGTTTTTGTAGCCAAGATGGTGGTAATGAAGGAATACAAAGGACAGACAATGTAGAAATCAAATGGTAATTAGTTTGAGTATTGAACGCACAGCGAAATCAAAGAAGGGGCAATTGGTTCTATCGTTTGTGTCTAGATTAAAGTGAATATTAGTCATGAACCTAAATAACTCAGTGTAACATGTGTAACCTTTTCTGAAGCCATGCCGACTAAGATAAAAGTTATTAGTTATAACCACTAAGAAACTGGCCCACTTAGGTAAAATTAGGGCAAGAAATATTTGCCGAGATCGACTAGCGTGAATCCAGGATAGCCCTTAAAAAATAGGACGATGTACTAGAAAACGGAAATTATAACGACATAGAGAGAACGAACAAAATGAAATGGTTTCTGTAGCAGCAATGGTGCACAGAGGTAAGAAGCGAACTAAATTCTTCTCAACTAGAAAAAGCTTAATAGAGGCAACACATGAAGTTGACAAAATGAATTCATAAAATAAAATTTGTTGAACTAACAACGTTGGTCAATAAGAAAAAGAGAGTTACATAACCACAATGCAAAAATGGCAGAAACAGCATAAAAAAAAAAACATGGCAGCATCAAAGCAGCTAGACGAAAAATGTTAAGGCAGAACCAAAATGCATGCATAAAATATACTCAGGCCAGTGACAGTGAAAGTGGCTGAAGGCATACTCCACTGAGCTGCAGACGACCTGACTACAGTAACCTAATTGAGCCGCTATTTCGCAGGACGTCTTTATCAATGCTAGAGCTTTTCGTCGTTAGTCGTGGCAGAGCAAGAAAACACAAGTTGTCAATGGCAGAGACATTACGAAACACGGAGGTCTGTAAAATAAGCAACCACGCACTGCGAACGCACCGTTTCAAGGCGCCCATGTTGCTTGTGTGTTGGTTCATCTTGACTCGGATTTTGTCTCCGAAGCTTGTGTAAATGTAAAAAAAAAATTTATGTGCGTATACATTTTTGAAATGCTACACAAAATTAGAAGTAGTAGTAAGTAATAAAATAAGAGGTATAATTTTAAAGATTATTGTGAACGTTAGCAGGTAAAAGTTTGAAAGTCTGAAAATAAAAGCATTGGCATCATCATCGACATCAACAGCAAAGTGCAGAAAATGATGGCAGTATGTAAACACGGCATCTGTGTACACTCGCGGATGACTCATGTGGCGTTTGCACATACAAATTTGCAGTCATTTCGTGATTTATGGTGCAGAAATACGCTTCTGATAACCAGGTAATGTTTAGCATGAGTGTGAAAATAAACAAGTGTTTGTACAAGCTGATTTTGGAGCATGGAGAGAGCCCCAACCAGTCACGAAACCAGGAGTACAGGTTTGTGCTTGTTTTGCTACCAGTAACCAACTACTGCTCTGTTTCTCGAATAATGACAAAGGCGGCAGACTGAAGAATCCTCGGGCACGCTGCAGAAGTATTTAATGAGCAGAATTAACTCCGCTTCTGATAAAAGAAGTTACACGATAGACGTCAGTCTTGTGCCACACGAAAGCTGTTAGGGGTGCCAAAAAATTCGGAACGCTTTTCCACATAAATTGAATTGACCATTAAAAACGTGTTGGCTGACCCTGTTGCGTTACCTAAAAATAGCGCTGCTAACTGATTCCTTCAGGAAACCACGATTAATTCTCATCAATAATGTGTTTGAAATAAGTGCGGCGACTACTGTCTGTTGCAGAACTAGATGAAAAACCCGATTTTGGTACTGCGTAACATGTTACCTTGATGTGTTTGCAGTTCAGTAGTAGATGTTTTCTCAAGGAACTCGTGCAGGTGCTTTCGTAAGTTGCATCTTGTACCAGTTGACCATATTTCAATGGCAACAGCATCAGGGAAGCTTTCTGATGGGTGCGCTGTATTAGTTCCCGCAGTTTTTGGCGCCTATTGGTCGAGCAGCATGATCACACACACACACACACACACACACACACACACACACACACACACACACACACACAAAACTTATACAAAGGCATGCTGTTCACACATAGAAAAAAAAAAAAAAGGAGTCCGCAGTAAAGGTGCTTGCCCTGCTGTGAATACAGTCGCTCGTATCATTTGAGCTAGTTCAAAAGGGCTGGGGGCAAGTGGTGTTTCAAAATGTACCGAATTCGGTGGCGTTATGAAAGGATTATCAAGCGTGCTAGCAACTTTTTTCTCGGTCAAAAAGCGAAGTTCTACACGATGTGCGAGATGGGGAAAGCCACATTACAAAGTGTTGTATGAAACGTGAGAAATTATAACAAAGACTGAAAAGGCTTCAGATGTCTCGGTACTTTATTTTGTAATGCGAGTGAGCTATTACACAAATTAGATCAACTGGTTTAGACAAAGGAACGGCAAAAGTATCACAAGTATTTATTCTCCATGCCAAAGGCAAACATGTAATGAGCTGCAACCCGCAGTCAAATATAATCTGATGGAAATAGCAAGCCCACTTTAAAACACTTGTCACCTTTTTGGACATTATTGCTATTAGGCATCAGAGATGCACAAAATATGGAAGAAGATGTTGCTCAGTGATCTTTCATGCAGTCTCTGATTGCAGTACATGTATTCTGAAAGTTGCACGAGATTGTCATGCTCAAACTGGTCCTGTGTGTTATGGGAATGACAAAATGGCCAAGCCATTCAACATAAAAACATAAAGTGCTTATTTTGATCAGATTTTTATTCTTAAATTACATCATATATACATTATTGTGAAGAGAATTCAGTCTGTGATTTTGGTAATGATGTGGGCTTGTGCCTTTTACACACAAGAAAAATTTCACCAAAAGATAGATGCTTCAATGTGGACGCAGGATGGAACTGACAGGCACGTTGCACATGCAGAAACATATAAAACACGCTCCAGTCTAGTGTCTGTTCACGCACCGACAGCACACTCACTAACTCACGGCACATCAGCTGTGCAGCGACGCTGTCACCATAGATCCCGATGTATATCGGGACAGAGCCCCAGTGCTAAGATGAACGTGCCTTAGATTAACCACACAGATGCCTTCAAGGAACATGGTTCCTATCCAGGCAACTCAAGCTGGAGCTATTGCAGACAGTCTAGCACATACACTGCTCATCGGCACCTAGTATGTTCAGCTGTGGACATATCAGGAAGCTCGGTGAGGTTGCTTCTAAGCAAGTGTCCAGGCATAGCAGTAACACAGTCAGGCTCTTCAAGTCTGAAATAGCAGTGGTATGGAGTGCACTGATGGAGCACAGTGTAACACAGTCTTCATTCAATGATGGTTTGTGTGATTAATAATTTTTGGCATTAAGAAACCATGTTATTCTTTCACTTCATGAATCAAGTCAAATACAGACATAATAGAATGCGTCGTGTTCTTCATCAGCATCATCAAGGTTATTGACGGTGTTCGAGTAAGCAATCTACAGATAGAATATATAAGTGAGTACGAAAATGTTTGCATGCGCAGCTCATTGACCCAACTGTCCGAATACGTTTTTCAAAAGTGTCAGACAGCATGGCACGTGGCCAGTGACTGCAGTGAAGTGTCTTCCATATAAAAGTGGTTAGCCTTTCACAACCAACCAAATAGGATCACTGTGTGTCTCGATGTTTCTTTGTCCTCTTGTTAATGAATTGAAACCAATTTGCCCAAATATCCGTGTTGCCCACGCTCTGTAATAACAAAATGGTTGACAAAGAGTGGGTGCTGTGACAGATTCCCTTAGCACTTATGTGTGTACGCTTCATTCCCTCTCCTGCAATCCAAGCTAAGCAGGAGGAGAGGGCAACTGCAAAAAAGTGGGGAAGGGGTACAAGGAGACGATGACAGACTACAATGATGCATTGAGTTGGTCATAACTGTTTTTATTGCCAGGTAGTATGGTGTGACCTGTGGCAGGCCGATGGAGAGGCCTGGCAACACGACGGTGTGTAGAGTGGCAACAAGCAGACGAAACTCTGGCAATACTAGAGAATGTTGTCCAACATTTATCTTACCACATCTTTAAAGGAGGGGAAAAAGGGGTTATTGGCAAGCATTTCATGAGTCACATGACTTGTGTGGCTACAGAAAACGGACATCATTAGACACCTCGCTCCATCCAGTGGCATAGACAGGCATCGTGAATACACTGGTGAATTGAAATGACACCCGAGGTTGCACGACACAATAGGAAAGAGGCTATTCCATGAAAAAGGGCGGGGGGGTTGTACACGTGCTTTGAATTATGGTTGTCAGAGTGTATTAAACTTTTTAATATGGTGTGACTGCACATTTTCTATATCTTGGGGACTGGTAGTTTGTAGGATGTAAAGTTTGAGGTATACAGTTGAAGTCGTAAACTGCTACAATAAAATGTTGTGCCAGTGCTTTTGGTTATTTTTTCCCTGTGTCCATGCGGTGCCTATTCAATCTAACATTAACAGCTTGTCCTGCTTTGCCAACGTACCACTTGTGACAATGAACAATCGATCTTCAACATTTCAACTAGTAACAGTAAAGCTGTATTTTATGTGATGTGTATCAATCAATCATTTTATTTCCTTTTGATTAGGAGGAGTACAGGACTAAAAGTTTAAGAGCTTGGCGAGGTCCCAATTCCGTTCACACGTTGGCAAAGCAGCAGGAATGGCAGACAATGATGCATGAATAATATCAAGTAAACTTATATGAATAACACTGCAAAAATTATTACAAAAATAATTCATTTCATTTATTGGTACCCTCAGGGACCGGGAGGTATTACAGAGGGGAGTGGTATTAGCACAAAAAGAAAAAAAAGAAAAAAAAAAAGAATACAGAAATGCAGCAATGGATATGCAGTTATTACAGTGGTGCGGCTCCTACTCATACAGTCTTAGCTAATGGCGTTTTCAAACAATTCATGATCTTGGATGGTTGCTATTGATGCGGGAAGGTGATTCCATTCGACGCTCGTGCGTGGTAGGAATGATGTGTGGCAGCCATTCGTTCTGCATAATGGAACTCCGACCTTGTGATGATGATCTAGACGAGGTGATACATAATCTGGTAGTGAAATATGTTCATTATGTAATTGGGGATGGTGATATATTTTGTGAAAAAGACACAATCGAAGAAACTGACGGCGAGATGCTAAAGATGGAAGGTTCAAGCTAGATTTAATTGCCGATGTGCTTGCGGTGCGGTTATAGTTGGAAAGAATAAAGCGGGTAGAATTATTTTGAACCATTTCGACTGAGTGTATTAGATTGGCAGATACAGGATCCCAAACCGAGGGAGCATATTCTAATTTAGGGCGAACCAATGTTTTGTAGAGGGTGAGTTTTAAGGAAGAAGGAGCTTTAGCAAAGTTGCGACGTAGGTACCCAAGCATTCTGTTTGCTTTTGCAATTATGTGTTCAGTGTGGATTGCCCAATTTAATGTGCTGGTTATGTGTAAGCCTAGATATTTATAGCTAGAAACAGTATCCAATGCAAGATCATTGAGAGAGTAGGTAGGAGGTGAATTAGTTGTTCTAGACACTCTCATAACCTTGCACTTGTTGACGTTGAGTTGCATTAACCATTTTTGACACCAAATTGAGACAGCAGTAAGGTCAGTTTGAAGAGCAGTTACGTCGGCATCAGAGCTTCATTCACGGAATATTACACAGTCATCAGCAAATAGGTGCATATGAGAGGAAATACACGCAGGTAAGTCGTTAACATAAATAAGAAAAAGAAGAGGACCAAGCACTGACCCTTGCGGTACTCCAGATTGAACAGCGGTGTGGCGGCTATTCACCCCGTTAGCAGCAACATACTGAGAACGATTGTTAAGAAAGAATTCAATCCAAGTTAGTAATTTCCTGTCAAGGTTTAGTTGAAGTAATTTGTGCATTAATAAACTGTGGGAAACCTTGTCGAACGCTTTAGAAAAATCCAAAAATATGCAGTCGGCCTGAGAAGAGTGATCCAGTATAACGTTCAGTTTGTGTGTGAAAGATGCCAGTTGGGTCTCGCAGGAGTATGTGTTTCGGAAACCATGTGTGCTAGGGTGAAGAATGAATTAGATTCGAGGAATTTTACAAGGTTCAAAAATATGATGTGTTCTAATATTTTGCACGGTATACTGGTAAGTGATATAGGTCGGTAATTAAGTGGGGAATGGCGGTTACCAGCTTTGTGAAATGGAGTCACCTTCCCGATCTTCCATTCAGCGGGCAGGCAACCTTGGTTGAGTGACTGCTGAAAGATCATCGTTAGTATGACCGATGAAGAAGCACACGTACCCTTTAAGAATTTCGGGTAAATTTGGTCACAACCAGGGGCAGAAGACAATCTTAAGGACCTAATTATCGCTTCAACACCACTGCAATCAATACATGTACAACACAAAATTTTGTACAAACACATTGGGCCAGTAGACCAAGTCTTAAGTCATTTACAGGCTGATTTCAGCTCTCTGCATAAACGATGTAATTTATTAGACCGGTTTAATTCTGTGAAGCACTGCAGATAGCTGTGCGACTCCGCCAAACGCATTTTCAACTGCCCATTCACAGAACGACACGCTCTAGTAAAGCGACATCACCCTGGTTGCTGATCTGATTGGCTGTGGAATGTGCGGAAGTAGAATGGGCTTGTATTGTGACAGCACCTCTCGGAGCAGGTATCGATCACTTCGCGAGCTTCGTCTCTTGCTAGACAGCGTGCATGCTGCCGGGCGCACTGTGTGACAGCCTCCGAGATTACAAGCAACCTGTCGGGGTGCAATCTTGGAGGTCTAAACTGGCGAAGCTCAAACCATCGAGTGTGCTCATGAGAGTTGTGCAATGCCAGCACGTCTCACGAGCACAGGTGAAATCAAAGGGATAATATAATTGTCTGTAGTGGCCTTAATACACGATGTGTTGTTGAATTTGTGGTGTGAATGGTTTGATCATGCTCTAGCCTAAATGCTGAAACTAAAACAAAAATTCAGGGTCCCTCTAACAGCAGTTGACGGTCTAAAGAGGGAAGCTTTCTTGGCTATACTACACTGAGCAAAACCTTTGAACACCATAATGTGTGATGGCGTCTACATTCTCAGAAGAGAAGCCCCACATGAAAACCAGATTGTACGCTAGCTGCAGGCAGTTCATCTAGGAGAAAGGTGCTGCTCCATGTCAATTTGACGTTTACTATAAAATGGAGTGAGCAGAATCACTGGATAACCAAGCTTCGATCGACGTCATGCGGGGAGAAAATGGGTCGACCAAGCTGAATGAATTTCAATGCCTGTTTTCCGAAGGGCGACAACATCGAAAGAAATTAAAATATAAGCTTGAAAAATCAATAGGAAGGCTGCTCAAGCAGACTTGGTGAAGGAGCATGAGTCAGAAGTGTTAAATTAGCCTAGGAATTGAACGAGGTGTGTAAGTGGCTGTTTGAATCAGAAGAGAAGGTATGACAGCACCTCCCTTGATTCCCAAGGTACAGCACAAGTTT